ATATTAAAATAATCATAATAGAGTAATCCGATATTAGAAAAATAATAACGAAGAAGAATATATAATTATACACAGACATTTTCTTCGCTGATGTCAATTTTTTTACCAATGTAGATTAATTTTAATCTCGATTTGATTTATTATTTATTTTTTACGAAAACGAAAAATTAGTATTGAAATAATTACAAAAATAATCAGATATTGGAAAATAATAATGAAGGGAAATAATTATAAATATAGACAATATTTCTCCGTTAATTCCCGTTTCTATCAATGTGGATTAACTTTAATCTCGGTTTAACTTACTGTTTACTTTTCTAGTTATAAATAAAAATTAGAAGAAGATAAAGTAAATTAAACTGAGATGAAAGTTAATCTACGTTGGTAGAAATGGATATAATAGTTGCTGTGGGTAAAAAAAATATATCATAGCCCACCAACACAGCTGTCACAAGAATGTTCGTTTTTCATTACCTATCTCTCAACTACTATCTATTAGTCTCAATGACACCGATCTATTTTGCAGACAAGACCCAGCTTCGTTTCCGATCAGATGATCGCAACCGCAGCCAGTGTCGTAAACGCCTGCCAAACGCAAACGGGAGTTGCCACAGGTACATATATTATTCAACGAGAGAGTTCGTTCACCCCAACGTGAATGAAATTATCGATCGCACTTTTAATTATCGCGATGGCGCATAAAGTTATACAGCTGATACTTGCGAAACTGACTATCCTGTTTCAAATTAAATCGATAAAACTATTTCACGGAGATTCGGGGGTTTAGGACTGGTTTTTTTTTTCAATACTATCGATTTCGGGCGGTCGGAGATGAATTACGTGAGCGTGTCTTTCTTTCGATTCGATATTTTAAATTTGTTTAATTTTTTATCTAGCGCGTTAAAAATACAGCGTTAAAAACATTAAAATTAAAACATTCTTTAACGTCTCACATGTTAAAAGGACGATGGTGAATTTATTTTGCACCCTATTAATCAATACATTCAAAGTACATTTATTTCGCGTTTCAAGAAAGTAATTACAATGTGAAAATTATTTGTAAAATATATATTAATAGATATATTGAATATACATTAATATATACGGAATACGTCCTTTTTTTAGCCGACATAGAAGCGGTAAGAAACGGTCAATGGCCGGAAACACGTCAATTGAAGGTGAGTACACGAGAGGCACGTGAATTACCATTTACGTCTAGCAAAAAAGAAATATTATTCTACAAAGAAAAAATGATTTTGTCGAAATATTAAAAAATTTAGCTAACTATAAATCTGAAAGTAATTTTGTTGGACTTCAAAATAATTATGCAGGAAACTCAAGCATGAGCAATGCTGTAAAATATTTTGATATTCCAGTAATCAGTTTAAGCGAATTATATATATATATAATTATTTCGATAGTTCAAAAAAATTATTTTCAGATCTATTTCTAGTTAAATTTTTAGATACTTCCGTAAAACTGTTCTTTCCGTCCAGCATCGCGTCGACGAAATATGAAGATATATATGTACACTCGTAGAAATTAAAGACTGTCCGATCTGATTTCTCGTAGTGCTACATGTATTGTCTCTGGGAACAATTCGGTCTGGTCGACGACAAGAGAGAGCTAAGTCTGAACGGGATGCTGACGTTCTTCCAGAGAATACCCGCCTATAGAGCCGAGGTCGAGAAAGCGATCAGCGAGTGCAAGGGGATCGGTAACTATTTGGGTATCTACTGTCCTTTTCTTTTTCGTTCGTCCCGTCGATCGATTGCGTGTGCTCGAAATTTCTGAAATCGCGGTGAAATTAAGTAATCCTGTTAAAATTATTACTAAAGTTTTATATTATTTAATAGCGACTTGCTTCGAAATTAGGAGGATCTGAAGCTGATATAAGAGTCCCTTACAGAAATCTAATTTAATACTAAAAGTTACATTAAGAGAAATGCTTGATATAAATAACCATTTATTTTATTGATATGTGACTTACGAAAATATTTCAACCAAATTTTGATTAAAAAACAAAATTTTTAATTGAAATAAGAAAATTTTTTTAAGTCATATACCAACGAAATAAATAGTTACTATATCAAACATTTCTCTCATTGTACTTATTTTAAGTATTAAAAATATTGTTGTTCGATGCTGAACAATTTTAATATTTAAAATAATTATCATCTTTACCTTCTGGTATTATAAATTTTCATAAGGGATGAAATTGATGATCCAAGAAATAGAATGATGTCTTTAATGCTCATTTCGATCGCAATTATGTTGATAATAATAAAAAAAAAAGGAATTGCAGATCAAAAGACTTCTTTAAAGATATCTTTATATCTCTTGAATTAATTATTACATTTATGAGAGAGAGAATAGGGAGAATTATTAAAATAAAACTCTTCAATATCGAAAACTTCGAACTTTAATCTTCCAACATTTATCTTTTTTTTTTAATTCTCTGATATTTTAGTTGTTTCATTTTATTTTCGATTACACACGATCCTTCGTGTCCCGTCACGTAAAGCAATTAATAACTATAAATTACTTCTCTGTTTGTGCAGCGAAGGGCGACAATTGTGAATACGCGTACGCGTTCAACAAATGCTACGCGGAGCTATCTCCTAGGGTAAGTGATTTCGTATTGTTTAGTCGCAATGGATTATCCTCATTTCACACGTGATCGCAATGTACATTTCAGACTTACTATCTATTCTAATGAGCGGGGCGAGGACGACAGCGTAAGAAGACCAAGAACAAAATGCTCAAGATACAATTTCGTGTCGAGATGTTTTTACGTTTAAAACCACTTTCCACTTTATCATGTAACCGCTATACATGCGTAAACCGTATACGAATGTGTCGATGAAATAAAGAATTTAGCGATCTAATCGATAATCTTCGACCATCTTGCTTCCTCCCTTAAAAAGGGATTATTTCTCCCAACAGAAATTTAATACTGGCCAATTTAACATCCAAAAATTATTTATTTGAGTATTAAAAGCGTTCAACAATAATGCTTTTGATTCTTAAAATAAATAATTAAGCACTACCTTCCAGTATTAAATTTCTGTAAGGGTTGTACCTTCGCTGCAAATCGCGTACAAACGTGTCTCACTTTTTGAAGTGCAAATAGCTCTTGTACGAATTATGACGTCAGAGATTCTTTTTTTTCCAGGAAGACCTACGATTTATATAAAGTGTCTCTATCGGATTGATTGGCAGATTTGATAAATTGATGGCGCTCTCATTTGACAAGACCGAGTTTGATATCGCAGATTGCGGCAGTGAAACGCTCCAATTGCCGGTTGAGGTCATACTTGATGATCGAATGCAACGGAAGGAGAGGTTTACAACTATGACACACTTGAAACGTTCATTCGCAAACGAGTCCTTTGTAACGATGAGAACAAAAATAGCGGATCGTGTGCATGTGGCAAGTGGAAGAGCATTACGATATAACGCAACGCAACTCTCCCGATGAATACGAGAAAGACGTAAAATTCGCAACTATTATATCTAGGTCATGATTATTACACTCTCTAGAAAATGTGAGTGTAGATTTATTAACCCCTTCAGACCTGATTTTATTCAAACCATGATGAACAAATTTTTTTAAATTTAATTCATGCGCATTTCAATAAGTACTTCATACTAAACAATTTTTTTTTAATTTTGACTTTTTCCAGCATATACGTTATTATATGTACATCAGATCTCAGATTCTAGGCAACACACAATATTTATAAAATATTTACAAAATATTTATAAATATTTATAAGGTTTATTTGAAATATTTTGTAAATATTTTTGTGGTCTTAGATTGCATAGATTATAAACATTTATTATAAACATTATGAAATATTTATTGTAAATGCTAGGAAAATACTTAACAAGAAATTATAATTTAAATAAAAATTACTTAACAGAATTATTTATTTGTATTTATCATAAATATTACCTTAAATATTTAGTCTATCTTTTAATAATATTTCGAATAAAGCTTTATATAAAATATGTATAAAATATTTATATAACATTTCAAAAAATGAATAATAATAAATATTTATCATAAATATGCTGTCTGGGATGTCGATATAATTAAATAATATATTGCTGATGCCTCGCTCATTGATTGCGTATCTCCCTTTTTATTTTATACTGCCGCTGTTTTCATTTTTATTTATTGCGCATCAATAAAGTTATTATTAGTATTATTATAAATATTAACATGGTGTGGATTTAATATCATGAGTTTTAAACTAGTGTTACATCCACATTACGTTGGTGTTTACATCAATCAACACGGTGAAAATTATATGTATCTAAATACTGCATAATATTAAATCCATATTTTTAGAGTGTAGATCTAAATTAGACATATATTTTAGGAAAAAAAATTGGGAAATTCTACGAGCGATTTAATAACCCTTGTTCGATAGTAACAAATCTTGCGGTAGAAGATGATTTGACTGCAAGATTGGTTGCATATAATTTCACAACGCGAAGTTACACAACGCGTAGGGTTACTGCGAGTTATAATTAAAAGACTAAAACATTTCATTTGTCAGACAGTATACAAATATAGTGTTTGACGTCGGACACCAACTATGTGAATGAAATTACAGGCCGCGAAACCAGGAAGAAATTATCGTACGATTGTTACTTAGGAAACAGACTGGATGCATTGTATGATTCTTAAATTACTATTACACGTTTTGTTTACCGTCATGCTCTTCGCTTACAACCGCACACTTATACAAAGTTACAAATTGCACATTTTTTCCCGGAATTCTAAAATAATTTTGAACTCTCTCAAGTTTGCCCTTTTAGAATTTTTTTTGCCTGCGAGAAATAGTTTCTGCGTGCGAGATACTAATTATTTTACATATCATACAGTATGTAGAAACTCACAATCAGATCTGTGAGAAAAAAACGTTTCGAAATACTTTCGGAAAATATTTTCGAAAACACGCATACGATTATAATTAACAAAATTTGCGCTCTGAATCTGGTATCTTAGTTAATTTCCTGATTATTTTGATGCGATATATTCATGTAATTTGCTGATAGCTAATTTTTATCTTTGATAGTTAATTATTATCTCCCACTTCGTCGCCAGGATCTGCATAAATTCTCGATGATTCAGCGCGGTCGCGCATTTAGTAATCCTAGATGGACGAATAAACATTTTTCGATTAAATCCGTCTCAATTGTGTTAAATACGAGAAATGGCAAAAAAAAGCTTAGCTCTCATCTGTGCCTCTATAATTCTCACGCAGTTCGTTATCGTGAGTTGTAACGAAGAAGTGAGTACGAATATGAATTTAAATACCTACGACAGAGATTTTTATGATCGCCAATATAATAACTTTCTATAGGATATAGATTGGACTACTGTTCACGATGAGTTAAGGAAAATGGCTGGAGGTTTACGAAAAAAATGTCTCGCTGAAACCGGTGTGACAAGCGGTATGTTCTCAGAATATCAGCATTTAATTAACGGTCTCGATATTTATCACTAATAAAAGAAGAGCCAACTAGTATACACACGAATTTCGCTAACTTATTTAAATATGTTTCAATATATTTATCCCTCAGTAATTCATGAGCAAGTGATACGAAGTGATATTTAGGTATTCGCGAAAAATTTTCATCAAAATCCGGGAAAAAATATTTCGTATATAATTATATATAGTTATATATAAAATTGACATATTTTATACAGTTATATATGTGTGTGAAATATGTTCATATAGATGATATTTCTTCCCAGGAAGTTTTTGAATTCTTTATTGAATTATGAACTGATATTCACATAGTTGCAGACGTTAAAAATGTGTTAAAATAATATTATAATTATAAAACAATTATTTTTCTACTTTCAATTTCTCGCAAATTCTTTGAACAATTAAAGTGGGGAATAAGTATAATTAATATACAGTGTTGGAACGTATCTAGGTAAAAGTATTAAGATACGGTATCTAGATACTTTAGCTGTACCTAAATGCGTTAGGTACAGCTAAAGTTGCTAAAGTATCTAGATACCGTATCTTGATACTTTCACCTAGATACGTTCCAACACTGCTAATATATAGTGTGTACTAAAACATATTTGAAATTAGGAGAGAGAGAGAAAGAGAGAGAAATATGCGTTTAAAATTTTCTCTTATAAAAGAAATAATCAAATCGGTTGATACTCGTAAAAAAATGATTTGCACTACTTTGCTGTTTTTATATTTATCATTATGTATTAAATCATTTAATAATTTTAACGATTTTATTTACAGAGATGCTAGATGGGGCAGAATTAGGCGAATTTTCGGATAAAGACAAAACATTGGGGTGTTACTTCAAATGTGTAATGGAAAAAGGGGGAGCGGTAAAAGAAGTTTTTTTTTTGTAAAAACAGATGTATAATACAATTATTAAAATTGGATCATTAAAGCTTGAACTTCTTTTGATTAGATGAAGAAGGACGGCAAAATAAACTACAAGATCTTATCCAAGTTGATGCCGGCGGCGTACAAACATATTGGAATAGAAATGCTCGACCAATGTCGTAATATAGGTAAGTATTAGTTTGTTGAAATAAATTACGTCGTTTAATTAGAAAAATAAAAAAAAACAAAAATGCAACTATTGTTCAGAACGACTATTCTATTACTAACAAAGCTATATTATAAATAATAATCTTTGCACGTAATTAATGAAAATTATGTTTCACAATGTGTTTTATACGTGATTGTCGACTTTTTCAGAGGGTACTGACAAGTGCGTCATAGCCATAAACTTTAACAAATGCATGTACACCGCAAATCCTGTGGTACGTATATAATGATTAATATCCCTTATGCAATGATTCTAATGCATCATGTTATACATGTCTTATTGCATTTTTTTCCAGGCATACTTCGTTATCTAAATATAGAATAGGTAAGATGTGTAAATTTGAGCTCGTAAAATATATATATATATATATATATTTCACAATATAAAATACTTTAAACATTCATTCTCTACTTTTTAAATTAAATCCTCTACTTCTCGTTCTTACGTTAATTTATAGAATAAAGTAAAACGTATATTTGAGAGAGTAAAAATTGCATAATTATTCGCAAGTAAGAACATTTTTATATATAACAATTACATGAATATAACAATAGCAATTTTTGTATGTACATCTTACTTTATATAATTTAATGGTTATATCACGATTTATTGATCATATATAGGATGCATCATAGCTTACGTCTGTATGTCTCTTACATTAAACTATTACAATGATAAAGTTACTCGATATACATACAAACAATTCATGCACGTTATATACATTATATTCGATCAAACACAATTCTCTCATTGATATTGTTCGTGCGTATAAATATTAACAAATCTAAATACACGCTAAGTGTATCAAGACAGTCTCTTTGTTTTTGACACATGCGACTGTCGTGATAGATATTGCGTATAAATTACAGACAATTAAAGACGTATAAAACAATGAACGATGTAAGATCTTTACATCTTCGATAATCTCTTGAGATCATTACAAACGAGTCTCACTGTATAAATGATGATGGTGCTAACGATGACAATACGATCTATGCTTTCCGTGGCTTCGTCTTCCTCTTGTTAATATTCATTATTTGCTCGACTATGATATCATCCGCTCTGGGATCGATGGGAATGGCCTGGACAGGCGTTCTGGAGCTCGGCACTGGCTTAGAACGTCTCTCCAGTAGCGCGTTTAACCAAACCCACAATTTTTCGCGATTAACGAACGCCAATGCGACTATCATGATGAATGGCAGCGCGATCACCGATGTCTGATTCATCTCACCCTGATCGACTTTCCGCTCCGCGTTGAACGCCAACTTGACGTATTTGAATGACGAGTTCGCCTCGAAGTAGACTGGAATAGTGCGGTACTTGTGTACGGCCTGAGACAGCGATGACTCCAATTGGACGAAGTACTTCCTGCCATCGGCTTGTAATGGTGGAAAATGCACCAGGAAACCGGCGTTATAAGTGCCGGTATTCTTGCTGGAGGATTGCTGTATGTCCAACTTAGAGATGTGCACTGGAGAATCAGGAGTGTCCTCTCGGCACAATTTCACCTTGATTGTACGATAGTGTTCCGGTTGGGCCGATGTGACATGCACCGAGACGTCCGTGCGCGAGATCGGATGAAAAGCGATCAGTCGCAAATCGTGGATGTCCTGTACTGGCTGCACCAGCTGAGAACTAGGGCTCGTGCGCTGTATATGAGCGTTGCTCTCTACGTTCGGCTTTAGACGGAAGGTATAGATGCACTGTAAAATTAATAAATTGTTATAAGTAAAAATTAGATAGATAAGATGTAAAAATTATTTTGTATTATTGCGCAAATTATATCATTAATATAAATATTTACCGTAGGCTGGAGACCGCGAATCCTGAAGTTACCATTCTCTTCAGTCGTGGCCTCTTCTTGGAGACTGGAACAGTTTCCTTGGCCTTGAACTTCAACCAGCAAGCCGACTTCCGGTTCCCCATTCAAAGACGTGATGGAACCGTAAGCGCTATAGGCAACTCTATTACCGAATAGATTCACATTGACGGTCGCCCCTTCCACGACGTTAATCATCTTTGATGGTGGATCAAAGCGATATTCCTTCATCATAGGTCGTAGATAATATTCACCCGGTGACAACGAATTGAATATAAATTTTCCGTCTTCACCAGTTATGCTGTTCTTGCGGTAACTTTGACCGCCAGACAAAGAAAGGAGTACACCCTGAAAAATAATACAATATTATATTTTTTTTATTTCCTGTTAGTGTTTTACTGATAAAGTTACCTGCAATGAAGAACCATCAGCATGATCAGAAACTTGCACAATAATCTCGGCCAATTTGTGTGCCAAGAATACTCCTTTAGCATCAGGCCCTGTGATTACAAAGCCCTCTTTCTCAGCTGTAACACTATAAACAAACAATTATCAATTTTACAATAATTAATTGTTGTAATAATAATAAATTATTACCAATATACCTATATTCAATTTTTCCATCCAAAGGTCCTACGCTGTAAGTCCCGTCTTTTTGTGTAACTAAAGTATGAATTGGAGACTCGTCATTTTTCCCAGTTATTCGTATAGTTACACCTTCCAACGGTGGAGAAATCTGTCCGGCTATAATCTAAATAATATTCTCGTTTGAGCTGTGAATTCTATATGTTTAATATAGTAATAGTTATTTACCTTTCCCAAATCACCGGCAAAACTTGCAATGTCATTATGACAGTCATTCACGCCAAAGACTTTCAGAGACGGTGGATTGAAGAGCAGAATGTCTGATAACGGAGTGATAGTATACATATTATCCGTTTTCGCCTTAAACTCAAATTCATACTTGTATACGCCATCTTTTTTTACATATTTCAGTGGACTAATCCTATCAAAAAATATATTAATAAACAAAGATGTATATATACATTTTATATATCAAAGAAATTAATAAAAATATTAATATTATTCGAATACAAATGTAAAAAAAATATATGCAAAATTTTTCTCAAAACGTACAATGCAACTTACGTAACACTGTCATTAGCGTCTTCAATTTTTACTTTAAGATCGTTTTGCATGCTTAAACTTATAATACTGCCTTTATGAGTGTGTTCGGTGGACTGCAGTAAGATCGGGGATAAATTGTTCGTATCCCAAGTGTAGGAAGAATTTTCATATATATGGCAACCTTTCGGAATAAAAGTGTATGTTCCAGATTTAGGCACACAATGCCTCATGCTATCTTTATTTAGAGGTAGAGTTATTAGTTTCGTGTTATTAGGCTCGAAATATTCCACGATTGTATCATGAGACGATATGAAGGTGATGGAGAAGCCGGTTTGCTTGAATGGTGGTACTTCAGCGCGTTCCGACGTTATCGAGATCCTATAACTGGGATTTTCCCAGCAAAACACGTCGTTATCGATGAAAATCTCATAATGGCCAGGTAGAACGTCCGTGAACTGATACTGGCCATCTAAGTAATGGAAAACGACTTCACAGACAGAGGAGATAGTATCGTATCGAATTAAATAGACATTACTGCAATAACAAATAGGTACGAATATTTTATATTGGTTGCTTGAAATCAAGTTAACTTTCAAACTGATTGCAAACACAAGATTTAGAAAATCGGAGAATCCTTTTTATTTTACAAGACCATATTTGTTATTGCAGCTCAAATTATACTAAACCACTAAAAACATTTTATAATAACGTTGATTAGTGTTTATGTCAGCACACCTTTAGCTTGTACTGTCTTTATCGTGACTCCATCGAGTATTTTCAAAGTAACTGAAGCCTGGCTGCAATCTGTCCCTGGCAAACAATGCACTGTTCCCGTTAACGTGGCTTTTAATTGTAAGAAGTTGACATTAGTAATTGGTTGAGACGTCACGTCAATTGTTTGTTGCAGTGGATAGAATCTAGAAATATAATAAAGTTTTTATAATTCGTAACTATCTTATGCACATATATAATTTTATAAAGCTTTACATCTACTCTGATTTATTTTTACATTCGTTACTTACTGTAAACCCTTAGTTTTTTCTTCCGTGCTCACAATTACACTCAATTGATATTTATCCGGTGCAAGATATACAGAGTACTCTCCCGTTTTCTCATTGGTGTCGAGCTCCTTATAGAATGTAGCAGCTGTGTTCTGAATGGATATTCGGCGAAAATGCAGCGTCCCCTTCGCTGACAAGGTTACTTTTCCTGAAACTTTGTATGCCGAAGGTACCAGCACAGGAAATTCAGGCGAGGTGGGAGATATTTTGACTGTCCTCTCGCTAAATTGTACATTTTCTGGAACAAATAGTTGTACAAATAATTCCAAAGAAGTTAGTGAACGATTTAATTTTTAAAAAATCTTGTAAAATTTTTTATACCAGATTCTGCTTTAAGTGTATATTGGCCGGCTTTCATGTTATCTAATACGTATTTTCCATTCTTATCTGTGACTGCAACTTCTTTATGTGACAAGAATATCTTTGCTCCTTGTAACGGATTTCCATTCGTGGCGCTACGTACTAAACCGCCGACCGTAAAGCCGGTTACTTTAAAGTCTGGAGTAAGAACTACACTGTTGTGGCTAACTTTGAAAGACAATTCTGGTGGCTGAACGTCGAATTTTGTCTGGGCACCAGCGTAGTGAGGTATAAGCTTATAATCGCCAGGCGATAGACTGGGGAATATAAATCTACCGGTATTGTCCGAAGTCACGTGGCAAAGTGGTTTCTTGGATTCGAAGTTTTTATTTACGGGAGTGGTCTCACACTTCTTTGCAATACCGTTCTGTAAGGTATACAAAATTATTCATTCTACGAAAATTTCTATTAAAGAATACTTTAAAATTTTGAAAAATATCAAAAATACTTTGATTGCCATGTGGATTTTTATAATCGGCCCTCTGGCACCATACTACTATTTTTTATATAATATAACTTCAGTAAATTTGTTTTCATATTAAAATATTGTTAAATAAAAGTTTTTAGTAAAGTTGATAGACTTCTCTAGAAAATTCACAATATATTATATAAAATCAATGCAAAATATTCTTAGTTTATGATGGTAATGGGTAGCAAATGTGTTCAATAAAAAAATAACAAAATTCAATAATAAAATTGAGGTACAGCGACGCCCTAAAGTCACGTAAATGTGTACCCACCTGGATACGCATGGCAATCAAAGTATTAAAGTATACTGGTAATATTAGTACGAAAAATAATAAAATAAACCTTACGCCGAAAAGAATGAAGGATACACCAGCCATTGGCTCATTTTCACTAGTAACTTTGCCACTAACATCATATCCTGATACTACCAAGCTGCCATCTGCGAGTTCTGTATTTCCCTCTTGTACAGTTACTTCAATTTTCTTTTCTTTTATTAGCCATCTAAAAAAGAC